TTCTCACGTAAAAGGCATAATATTGGAATAAAGTTAGCACCACGATAATTGAGATATTTTTGTGATATTTGTGGTGGAACATTATCAATAAGCTTCCATGCATCCAAGTAATCACTATCGTGATATTTTGCAAGCGCTGTTAAATAGTCTTGATTTATCTTTACCAAGTGATCTACAATTATTTCAGATTCATCATGTGCATGAACCCATTGTGCTAATGAAGACAAATCTTGCATCATACAATAGCTATCAATTATCTATAATCCATTAAATTAGAACAGATCACATCGGTAATGTTAATAAAACATATGCAGCATAGCTGAATTTAAGCAGCATCTCTTTTATGTATTAAAACTTTAACATGCATTAAGGCTAATTTGTCCTCACGCAAGAACAAACCTTATATTTTTGCATATGAAGGTCTCGTCTGTTTTGATTGCTTAAATTCAGAGTTATATTGTAATAGGATTTTGCTTACTTGAGAGCTTAAAAATCGAGCTTTTGGCAAAATAGTTTCCATTTCAGGATCAACTTCAAGAAGGCAGTCAAAAGAATCAATAGCTTCACTTGCAGCAAGTTCATATCTAGATTCCGCGAACAAATGAGACCCATTCATCCAATCAAAATTTGCCTGATTTGAAATAGATTTATGCTCTAGATTGCGCTGATTTTCTTTTTTTTTTGTTAAAAAACATTTCAAACAATATAGTCAGTAATACGTTAAGTAACTTGTATTCTTAATTACTATTAGATAGTCATATTTGTAACGCAAAATTAGACGAACTTTGAGTAGAGTTGACTGGTTCAATGTTTTCACCCGCGGTAAAGTCATTAGTGTGGTCCGATAAACTTGCTTCTTGATTTTTGTCACTTGAGCAGATACGTCGAGACCATGCTAAAAGCCCAATAATACTATCCCCAGCATGTAATCTTTGCAGACATTCAACTAGTGTTGCAACAGGTGGCATCATTATAGATAAATGTGTTTGTATTACGAACCCAAATAACTTTATTATGGGATCATCTTTATCTAACACAAAGCAGTATTGCCTTACCGACATCACTCAAAATTTGTTGAAAGTCTGTCAACCAAATATTTTCACTGGTAATCAGTCCTTGATTTAGCGAAGCTACTCGTTGTGCAAGTGCCTACCAATTAACGTTAAATTCAAATTTGTTAAGCCGAAATACTAGCAAACTATATCAGCAAAAGATAACTAGTCTACAAAATACCCGAAAACCGTGCATAACGGCCAGAGCATCATCTCCAATGATTTTAGCACCTTTAACAATTCCTGTTCTAATACGAGAAAACCAATCATCACAGACTTTACGATTCGTTCTGAAGAAAACAATACTGGCACGTGGTGCTTGTGGTATATTTCCAAGTGAAGTCCCAACAGTAGCATTATATATTTGAAGTTCCAAGCGATCAAACAAATTTATTAAGTCACGTAATTGATAACGATTTATCATACTTTCCAAAATTATAAAATTCAGGATTAAATAACAAATAACAAATCAAGATATTTAATAGGACTATTATTCCTTAATTACCTATAATGTAAATTATCATCATCCAATTCATTTTTTATAGAAATCAAAAGGTCATCTGCCAGTAATTCATTTAATCTCTTTTCAAAAGCATCAAATGTCTAATGCAAACAATAAATACATAAATATTATAGTTTGAAATCCTTAGTAGCATTCGTTAAGCATTTACCTGCTTTGGTCCTCCGAATGGTGTCCGTAACCTTGAAAGTACGCAATAACGAGTAACCTCCCAAAGTGTCCAAAATGTAAGCAAGTCGTTGGAATTTACAACAGCATAACCAATTTCATCTTGTGAATAGACTAAAGACAAGTAAATCATTTAACTTATATAGAATAATGTAAAACGTGCACGTATAATATGATTGTGTTAAGTACCATATTTGAGATTGTAATCTTCTATAACATCTTGTATATTGAATAAATCATTAGATTGGCACGAAAGGAACAATCGCAGGCGCCATTGTCCTTTCTCGCTTGGATCATATGCAACGTTGTCAATTTCATCTTGTCCGGTTAATAACTCTTTCATTCCCAAATGGTTCATTACGATTTGGAAATGGGGTGATCTGAAATTGCCTAAATTCGGTGCCATGCACACATTTGCCTGTGCAGAAATATTGCCTAGTTAATTTTTAATAAGCATTTATAGATACTTTGAATCTTAAATAGCGTGCGAGTACTTTGAATTTCATCATTAATTGATCCTCTAAATCGTCATGCAAAAAAGTTGCAAAAAAAGGATTTATTCTATAAATCAACTTGGAATACCCAGATTGTACTCTAAGGTCTACGTCATTAATCCTGAATAAGAGAGGGTTGGACATCATAAAACAGGAACTCCGTTGATGAATAAACACAATGATTTAATGACATCTATACCTTTGGATAATCTTAGAAAAGGCCTTTTGACTA